TGAAATTGTTGTTTTGCATTTAATGTTTTTTATTTAATAATTTTTTTTAGTAAATTTTTGTATGTTGGATTTCAGTATTGTGGTGAGATGAAGTGTTTGTAACTTAATTGCTAAAGAGTAGGAAACCTTTGTATCAATAACGGCATATCCTTGCGATGTACATATATGTATGTATTAACTTGTGTGTAATTACATACATACTTGATTTACATATATGTATGTATGTATTCCCTTTATGTGTATTCGCATATACATGCATATTTCATATGTATAATAATAAATAATGATAAACAATTGAACATTAGATATTTTCATATAACAACATTAACAATTGAACGGAAAAACTTTTTCATAACGCAATTTTTTTAATAATAATAATTGTTTTTTTTTTTGTTTTTGTTTTGTTTTCGCTTAAATGTAGGAGTGTATGCATAAGTTTTACGTCTTAATTTTATAGTTGTGCATATTGATTTTCTCTTGTTTGGTTCAATTACGAGCATTGCGTATAAAAGTTTAATTAATTTTCATAAACTCATAAAAATATATATATGTATATATGTATATTTTTTATAGAATAAGTAGCTTGTTGGTAAGTGTCATATATTTATGTTTTTTTTTTGATTCGCTATAAATCAGTAAGCATAATTTATTTGCGTCGCAGTTATTCACTGAATTGGCTACGATCTGCAAAGGATTGTTTGTGCTCATCCTCGATGGTCGGTTTTAATTAATTACATATATATGTATATATGTATTTCCAACAATAAGTTTAAAAATAAAAAAACAAAAAAAAACAATAATAATTTTAGTGTTTAATATGTAAAAATGTAATGTATTTTATTAATGTTTGACATTTGTGACTACAGTGTGTTCAGACGGTCACAAGCCAGTGATCGAGTATTTTAAGCAGTTTGGTTTGGTTATTGTATAATAAAAATTGGACACAAAACTTTAAAATGTAGAGCATGTTTCTAATAAATAAACGTATATAAGTATATATGTATGTAAGTGCATGAAAATTAACAATATTTTTAAGTATAACATAAAGCACTTTAATATTTAACGTTTGCTTTTCTTTTGTTGATTTAATTTTTAATTTTTAGTCTCTATGACAAAACAATAAAACTACAACAATAAATATGAATATAAGTATAAGAAATTACTTGCAGTGCAATCATTTCCACAAAAAAACGCCAATTCGCAAGTAACATAATAATATTAAAAAACAAAAACTAAAAGTTGACAAGACATGATTTGCGCTACGCTGATGAATTGCCTGACGAGTTAGTGTGTGTGTGTGAGTGTTCCTTCAATCTTTAATTGCTACAGGCAGTAAACGTAGGTATATAAGTAATTACAAAAAAAAAAAAACTGAAGCAATTGCATTACGTTGCGCCTAGTTGCCAATACACTCTTTACTCGCCAGTCATGACCTCCATGAATTCTATAAAGAGCGAAAATACAA